AAAATGCTGGGTTGTTTCAACCCAACTTTGGGTCAAATATGGACTAACCCAACCGTTGGGTTAAATTTTTACATTAAATTTTTAACCCAAAAGTTGGGTTAGTCCATATTTGACCCAAAGTTGGGTTGAAACAACCCAGCATTTTTTAGAGTGTATGTTAATGTGTGGCACTTAAAACTACTGTTTTGAGGAATTGCCTCAAGATTGTAATTTATGGCATTTTTCATATGCATCAGGCAAAATAAAACTAAGTGTGAAAGTGTTTGCACAGAAATAGGTCCAACTAAATATATCATTTTCCTTCAGCTTGCCTGTGATGTCATGGTATGGCATACATTTGAGGAGGAATTGAAAGTTAATTGTTGCGAGCAGACAGAGATAACATACCTTATGAACAATGTGCTGAAATATCAGAATTTTTTGTTTTTTGTTTTAATAGAACTTGCAGTATTTACAATAATTCCAAATCTCACTGTTTAAAACTGGGCGGAAAAAATAGCCCCAACTGTACACATTTACAATACATTTTCTTTTCATATTTTTATTCAGTTTTCATAATCAGTGGGATCCACAGTATTTAAGTTTTAACAGCAGGCTTTTGGTGACATTTCCTCCAGTCCTGTGAATTGCCTTATTGATTTTTTTTTCCCTGTTACATATTGTGTTGGTTTCTAAAAGGCATCTTTTTATTATTTTTATTTTTTTTACATTTTCTATACTTTTTTTTCAGTTTATTCATCCTTTCTGCTATTTTAGTCATGTTAATTACACATGCGCATCCGTGTATTCAACAACTTCTCGGCATCCGGACAAAAAAAGAACAAAGACTGACATCAAAGCAAAGAAATTCACACAAATCACTATATTAGCATGACAATCAAGTGAATACAGAAGAGTTTGCTTCTGAACCATTGCGGGACCGAGTTGAGCTGTAGTTTTCCCGTTACATGTTCATAGCAGGCCTTTTTTATTTTATTTATTCCTTTGTTTATTTTTACCTTTTTTATAATTTTCCTTTTTTTTTGCGATCACGATAGTTAATATTCTCTATCATGATTATTATATTGTATTTTTCAAAATACAATCATTTCATTTATAGATTTCAAAAACGCACCTGAGTTGGACGGCGGCGCGCTCCGACGCATCCAGTCGTAGGGGTTCCGTCTCTGAGAGTTGGGCGACAGCTGACCGACTGATGTGTTTATGGAGGATGGAAGAAGGCCAGGCGCTTGAACGGACGAAAACTCTGGAGGACTGAAGCCCAGCTGACCAGTGCTCGAGGTCGAAGCTCCAGTTCCCGGCCCGTAAGGTGTCCATTCCTCTCGCGGAGGAGGGTACGCGGGATTCCAGGCTCCTGGTTGGCTGTGGTGAGGGTCGCTGGTAATTCCAGATACGTGATGGTAGCCTGTGAAGTCTGGATACTGAGGAGGTGCGGGGACAAAATTCTGAGGGTTCAGGTTTAGGCTTGGGTGTCTTACGGAATTTGGGTACATACTGGTGTCCTTCTCCAAGAGATAACTCACGTACATTTTTCCGCCGGATGACTCCAGTGCATTATATGCACCCAGACAATTGATCTTGGCTCCTTAGGCCCAGGTTTCCCTATAACCTGACGGCTCCTCTACCTGGCCAGATTCTCTGAACCCTCCAGCCTCGGTGGCTGCTAAAGGTTGCGATGTTGACGTCACTTTTATGATCATGATGATCACCCTCCCACGGTCTCGAGACTGCCTTGGTGATGTTCCAATTCAGAGCGCTCCACGAATGAATGCCATTCAGAATGTAAACCTATTAGTATAGGCCTACATGCACTCTAAATACAAAGTGTAAAACTGGCATGAAATTTAAAAAGACAACACGTATACATTTACTGTTGTAAGAAATGTTGTTTCTATGATTTAGACTAGCTCATTACTTGCGGATAAAATACAAATAAGCCTATATTGCATTTAACTATCAATCATGCATAGCTATTTTTAAGGTAAATTAGGCTTTTGTTAACATTTTTTTTTTTTTTCAGAAATACAAATGCCAGCTGGAAACGGGAATTCCCCAAATTCCTTGTGCGCACCATCATATTTGATTCGATTTTATTTCAAGTTCAAGTTATTCTTATTTTTGTTTTCCTAAGATCGGTGTTGGTAATACATGTATGTTGTTTAGTTTAGTGCTATTTTTGCATTTGTGTTTTTTATTGGAAACAGGAGCTAATTATCATGAACTTTAATTGTTATGTGGCCTTTTTACATATAAAACAATAGCCCGAAAGCATTTGTATACTATTTTATGATTTAATGACATGAACTGTAAAATATACTGTGACTAAAATACCGCGCCGTAATACAGTGTCACTGTGTTTTTATGATATGATGGCAAACAAAACTACCAGTTTTTAGCATAAATTTAACAAAACATTATTATTGCAATCTCTATACATAATGTTATATATTAGGCTACACACACGCACGCGACATTCGATTATCAGCTGATTCAAAACAAGGAACAATGTCTACAGTGCGAACAAGACAACATGTTCGTAATATGATCATTTTATCAGATCGATTTTATGGGGTATGCATGTTTTAAACGTAGGCTACATTTTTAGACAGATTATATGCAATCACATTTTATATATTATTAATACAATGAATGCTATAAATTGTAAATGTAATTGTTATATATATATATATTGTGAACTGTACACATGGAACAGCCATCGGCGCAAGACGAAATGAAAAATTAGACATGATTATTTTACAGTAGCACATTAAATATTATAATAGGCCTATATATATAGAGAGAGAGAGAGAGAGAGAGAGAGTATTTTAATTGGATATATGTATCAAAGTCCAATTAAAATGTGTTGTTAAATTACGTAAATTACGTATGGCTGCATTTTAAGTATCCCTGTCTTCTGCACGGAAGACCAGGACCACAATTTCACCTGGACTTTCAAAGCATTTAATCTATGAGCCAGTTTTCAAGAAGAAATTGGACAGAGATAAAACTAATATCGCCTATACCAAATTATTTCAGGATGTCTCCTATCAGCTTTTTATGATATGAAAACATCTAAAACACACGGCCATAAAATTATGAGCTGTCCAAAAAAAAAGAAAAAGAAAAAGAAAAGGTGGTCTAAAATGAAAACATTTGACACCCGGACAAAAGTGATGTAAACCATTGTTAGAAAAACTGAAATGTGTCTTGGGTAATTTAGATTGTATGGGCTAGTTATATGTGTTGCTGCTCAATAGTATTTATGATTGTGTTCATGTTGTAAAGACTAACAAGTGTGTGTTTGTGGGCTAATACATTTATAACCGTAGTAGCTTTTATTTCACTGTTTGGCTAGAAAACGGTTGCCTATTGATAAGATAACGACGTGGAATATACTTTCTTACATTTTAATTGGTTTACATCCTATTTTTATTGTATTCAACCTTTACTGACCTATATCTTAAACAGAGTTACTTAAAATACACACGATTTATCAAACTATTCATCAAGTTGTTCTTCACACTCTAAAAAATGCTGGGTTAAATATAACCCAGCACTGGGTTAAAAAGGGACAAACCCAGCTAGTGGGTTGTTTTGACCCAGCTATTGGGTTGTTTTGAACCGCTGGGTCAAACAACCCAATAGCTGGGTTTGTCCCTTTTTAACCCAGCGCTGGGTAATATTTAACCCAGCATTTTTTAGAGTACAGGATTCAGTCATTTCTCACTGAGGAGAAATGTTAGTTTATAGTTTGACTCGTGCTTTTCCTCTTCACATTAAACATTACCACTCAACTCTAATCACAGTTTAATGTCACCATCTGAAAACGTGCAAACACTTTACACGCCACTAGGCACACCAATAAATAAACATGTTTCTCCGATGCAATGTAAAAGACTTCGAGGACATAGAATAATGCAAACGGTTTTGGTCAGTTCGGAAGGAGAAAAGGCTTTCAAAGCGATCTGAGAGGATTTAGATGTGTGGGGTCACATTTCACATCCAAGTGTGACTTCCTTGTAATTGAAATGGGAAGAGCTTTCGGGAAAGAAAGAGAGAGAGAGAGAGAGAGAGTTAATATACAAATCAAATTTTTATGAATAGCCTATAAATAAAATATATTAATAAATAGGCCCTGTGAATTTTAATGTTGATTAAAATGCTGATTAAATTGTTTTGTACACTGTAATTTATGTATTTTTACAGCTGTGGAAGCACTTGTCTCGCTTAAAATAACCATAGAGTGTTTGTATATAGAGTGTAGTGTAACGAACGCTGATGGTTGATAATAATGCGAGGAAAAGCACTGGACTCACGACAGAGAGCTCGTTGCCCTTGTTAACACAGTGCTGATGTAAAAGTATCAGTACATTTATACCTGCATTTACAAGGCATTTCACGTTATTCCTTCGACCATTCGAAAGAACGAGATCAGCGCTCAGTGTTTCCATATTTAACAATAACAATTGTTAAATATGGAACAATTAAATATGGAACAATTAACAATATACGAGGTAAAATTAAAAAGGGGTGGGGAAAAAAACTATGTTTGTTTAAATAGGTATGAGAACAACATCTGAATTAGTTCCTTCTTACCAGGAGCAATAACCTATATTTATATACTTAAGCAAATTAATAAAAACTAAACGCCTATATTGGACTTGCTTTAGCATATTTAGTAGCTAGCAGATAACAAATACAGTAGCAGATAATAATTGCAGTGACTTGTTTTTATAACAAAACAAATAGCTACAGTAAAGCATGTCGTAACTAGTGAACTAATATTTAAAATGTATGTAGTAATTTAATTTCAATGTGCTAATGTATTAAGGAGATGGTTGCATTTGTATTTTATTTTCGGCTAAACAATAGGCTACTAAGCAAGGCTGTGTTTGTACAATATCGTAGGCTACTATAGAAACGATCGTATGAATCATTTTAGAATTACGGACTGTTTAAAAAAAAAAATCGTAACGTTAGTAGTTGTTGAGAGTCGTTTTGTATTTAGTGCCAAGCAGACAGTCTCGTGCAGTCACCTGCAGGACAACCGCGAGATCACACCTAAACCTAATCCTGTTATGCAGTGTGGTTTTATTCCATTTATGTGGCTTTATCAATTTAAGTCCATTTTGTTATTTATTTAGTCAGTTCAAAACTGCACAGAATAAATGCATAGAATAATGTAATAAATGCATAAGTAATTTTAGCTGCAAAATAAATGAAAGGTTAATACATTTTGCCAAAATAAATCAAAATTCACTGATTTGAATTGAGGGGGTGACTATTCCTTTAAGGCAGTCTTGAAGCAGAGGCACATCACATACACTGCATGTTCTTCTGAAAGCACATGTGGATTGTGTGAGGGCTTTGGTTTGTGTCATGCATGATAAGACTGTCCTTCTCTACTGTGAGAAGCAGGAGCAAGGGGATGCATTCAATAAGCAAACTCCAAAACCTACAGCTTGCTAGAATTCCCCTTTGTTTTTTTCCTTATTGTTTTGTGCAGCCAACTGCAGGTGAAGCATGAATGCCTTCACCACTGCAATATCCGCAAAAGTGATAAAGAAAGATAGAACACCTTCTGAAAAAAGAAGTGCACTTAATTGTACTGAATGTGCACTTGTAGCGTACTTGCAGTGCACTTTGTACTCGCATCAAATTATACATTTTACTTTAAGGTATACTCTAAATCATTATGTCGTAATCATCTTTTATTGTGCTTCAAGTACACTTGTTGTTAAGTGTTGACTAACATACTAATGCACGTGTAAAGTACATGGTTATACATTTTCTGTTGTGTTGGTATTACATTTAAAGTTAACATAATTTACTAAATTGCAACTTCATTATTACAAAAGTGTAATTACAGATACATTTAGAGTTGACCCTCATTTTTAAGTTGTAATAGAAATGAAATGAAAGCATGAATTAGTAGGCTACACTGAAATAGTAGTACATGTCGTATTTAGAAGAGAAGTCATTATGAAAGTAAGTACTAAACTCTTACTTAAGCGGGTCAAAAAAGAACTCTTAATTTCAACTGTTGCCTTTAATATAAAGTATAATGTAAAGTATAATCCAATTTGATTTAATTGTAAAAAAAAAAATGTCACTTTTACAGTGTACACTTTTTGAAGTGTAATAAGTAGACTTTTTAAAGTATGCAAAAATGCACATCTTTTTCACAAGGGGGCAGTACTATACACCCTCCATATTTCTGTATGACGAACAATGAGGCATATTTCAAAATCATATATTCAAATGTAAAACAAATGACATAAAATATGAACACCTCTGCACAATTTTTTTCCAACACCACTGAATTTGAAACTGTAGCAAGAATCAGAAGTCTTTTTTTCTGTTTATTGTCCATCACCTGTTTACACCCTTCAGAGGGCAGAGCGTGGTTTGTGGAAAGCTTTGAACAGTCACACAGTTCCACCAGGAGGTCATTAAATGGTATTGGGCCTGACCCCAAGACCCTATCATCCATCCACCAATGCCATGTGCTGCAGGGGATTGCCTTGTACACTGTATAAGAAGAATCCAGTCGGCCAGAACAAACAGCTTGTACTTGTAATAAAGTGTTGAAATGTAGTGATGTCTCCTCGTGGTCTCCTGGTGCTCAGCAGCAGGACATTTGGATTCTGCATTACAGTCTGACACAAATAGGATGCAAAAACAGTTGAAACAAATCAAGTTGCAAATCTGAAGTTCAGTTAATAAAGACGCTTAACTAAAGCAAAAACATTTTAAATGTAATGCTTGTGCTGAGATTAAAATTTGGGTGCAACAGTGTGTGGACCAGTGTTGGGGAAAGTTACTTTTAAAAGTAATGCATTACAATATTATTTGTAATTGTAACAATTGCGTTACCCCAACACTGGTGTGGACGTTTTCATATTTTAGCCAGAAGCGACGGTTTATTAAGTTAAAAATAATGATGGATTTGTTTCTTGCAAACATGCATCTTCTGGCTTCTCAAGATGTTAATTCAATTCAATTCAAAAGCTTTATTGTCTACCCCAATGGGGTAGAAAATTGTCTGAAAATTGCAGAAAATTCATGGACTGGAGTGGTGTGGATTATTGTGATGTTTTTATCAGCTGTTTGGACTCTTATTCTGACGGCACCCATTCACTGCAGAGCATCCATTGGTTAGCAAGTGATGCAATGCTACATTTCTCCAAATCTGTTCCCATGAAGAAACAAACTCATCATCTACATCTTGGATGACCCGAGAGTGAGAAAATGTAAGCAGCTTTTCATTTATGAGTGAACTATTCCTTTAAAATCTGTTTTTAAAAGGAAAAAGTCTGTTTTATATAGGGACTTGAGTCAACTGACCTATATCTTCCAAATCAAATATATACGGTGAAAATACACACTTTGAGTGAAGCTCACATTTGATATTAAACAACTGTTTCTTAATAGTTTTTGTTATCAGTTATGTTTATTAGTGTTTTGTTACAATCATGTTGTTTAATGCATTGTTGTGGTGTCCTGTGATTGCATTTTGTGTTTGTGTGTATGACACAATTATACACACCATCTATATATTACTATTTATCTCAGATTATGGAAAAGCTACTTTTGATGCATTTTTTATATTCTGTGTAAATAAGGTGATGAGGTGAATGACCGGCCTGTGATGAGCTGGCTGCGGGACGGAGTGCACAGCGGCTGGACATAGTAGTCAACTCGAAAAGCGATCTCAAGTCACTGCAAGACGCAGAAGTTTGTAACCGTCCATGTCAATTTATTTTATTCTATTTTGTTGTCTGCCACTTTAAAGCAGCACTATGTAACTTTTTCTGTGTTCAAAATTTGCTAAATGTATATATAATGAGCGAGTACATCATGAATTCATCTCCCAAACCGCGTTTTTGTCTTATTCCGAATCACTACGGTACACTTATAATAAGTACTTATATTTGGACTATTGTAGGCTGGTCGCCGCTGCGGAGTAACACATACCTGCGTGAATCGCCATAGACATAAACGTAGAGAAGTAGCTCCGGTTGGAATGTTCTTCCGCGGGATGTGTGCAGTTCTGTTTATTAACCGCTAGAGCGCCTAAAGTTACATAGTCAA